AGAGGAAGAAGAGGAAGAAAGAAGAGGAAGAAAGAAAAAGAAAAAGAAGAAAGGAAGAAGATGATCGAAAGAGGGGAAGAAGATGGATCAAAAAGGGGAAAGGGGTAAATTTGTAATTTCTTATTTTTTTATTAAGGTAAAATTAGTTGATGAGTTGGCAGTGAGTTGGCTTAAAAAAAATTCCACGTCAACGTTTTTTAAAATTATTTTTGCCACGTCATAAAAAAAATTATAAAAAATGCCACATAAGCGAGTTAACGGCCCGAATTAACAGAAGGACTAACGGAGTGCATTTCGTATAGTTAAGGGATCAAAAAAGTGCAAAAAATTGTTAAGGGACCAAAAATGTGCAACTCACTAAAGTTGAGGGACCAAATTTAGCATTTAACCTTTTTTTTATGAACTTGTTGTTGACTTGCTGGACCTGCTTGACATGTTTATATTGGCTATGTATATTTACTACTTGTTTGTCTTAATTCAAATTTTTATTTTATATGATTATTTGAGTTAATTTTATTTGATGAATGTGGAAACCAGTGGACTTTAAGCAAGTCCCCATTGAGCTTAATTTTGATTAACAAGCAGCGGAGTAGGTGATAGTTTTATTTGATGGGGACTCCGAATACCCGTAGGGACCTATCATTCCCCGCCGGTATGGGGACGGAGGTTATTTTTGAACCTCCGCCAAAAATCCCAGTGGAGATCCCTGTACCTGCCATTAGTGGGGATGGGGATTGGGGCGGGTCTCCGCCCCCGTGGGGACCCATTGCCATACCTAGCAATTGCTTGGAGTTTGTTTGCTTTTTCTCGATTCCTCTCATTTTCGTTGATTGTCTTCATGTATTGGGCACAATGCCCAAATTCACCTTTCAATTATAATAATAGAGATGGATCTATCCTAATGAAAAATAGTAGCAAATTGCTTCATTAAATAATTGACTTAGAATAATAATATAAAACTTAATTGTGTTACATCACTAATTACCCCATTCTTCTAGATATATACAACTTAACTCTTATGAGAGGAGTAAATGGTTGGCCAAACATTAAGCAAGGGAATTAAGATAAAGAGGGATCCTCCTTATCTTAACTTTTACGAGGGAAGGAATAAATGGTTGGCCAACATCAAGCAAGGGAATTAAGATAAAGAGGGACTCTCCTTATCTCAACTCTTTTAAGGGAATGAGAAAATGGTTGGCCATCAAGCAAGGGAATTAAGATAAAGAGGGATCCTCCTTATCTCAACTTTTCTGAGGGAAGGAGTAAATGGTTGGTCAACATCAAGCAAGGGAATTAAGATAAAGAGGGATCCTCCTTATCTTAACTCTTCTTAAGAAAGAAGTAAATGGTTGGCGAACATTAGGCAAGGAAGGCCAACATCAAGAAAGGGAATTAAGATAAAGAGGGATCCTCCTTATCTCAACTCTTTTGAGGGAAGGAGTAAATGGTTGGCCAACATCAAGCAAGGAATTAAGATAAAGAGGAATCTGCCTTACCTCTTCAAGGGAGTCACATAATAGTAACATCATCATGCTATTGTTTACATTATAAATTATAAATTTATTTGACAATGTCAAATATTATATTATTTGAATGATAATTATAATTAAGTTATGTCAAATTTAATATTATTATAATATAAAATATGACAAACTTTACTGATGGTGCCATGATGCGCCATGTTTCTAACTTAATGTAATAACTGGGTTCGCAATTTTCCTCACTGTATTGTTGGACTTGGCAATAATTTACCTACTTTTTCTGTATTGGAAGAAGAACTGGGCCCTCATACGGCCTCACTGCATTATTGGACTTGGAAATAATTCAACACCTTTTTCCTGTATAGCAATAACTGGGCCACAATTGGGCTTACCGAATTGTTGCTTCTGCTTTTTCATTTTTGTTTCATTTTTTCCAAAAGATAAAATTGCCGTTTGTTTTTGGGATCCACAATGCTAGTATTATTTGGCTTCCTATAAATTTAATTGACGTTTACTAAATTGTTAAATTATTTAAGGATATTTTTAATCTGTGCTATTAATAGGTAAGTTAAGGGTATATCAAATATATATTTTTGTAATAAATATATATAGAAAAAATATAAAAATTAAT